ATAACATACATAGATACATAGAATATAAAATACGTAATAAGTGTATAAAAACACGTGTAATTAAATTGCGTTTATATAATTTATGTACAGGTATGCGCGTGATGTAGATAGAAATAAAATTTTGTATTCGAACCTTTTTGCCCGTTAGTCTATTAATTACAGCGACATTCTCTTCTCCGGTTAATTTTTTCCAATCTAATAAAGATGGATCGACGCGCGGTCGTCTTCGTCTCGGTGCATTTAAATATTCCGCGCCTAATTGTTCGGACATGGCAGTTTGCTCGGCTAACCATTTATTCACTTTAGCCTCGTGAGAGTAAGATCCGATTTTAGAAGAATATTCAGCGACTTTATTGATATCTGCGATCATTGCTTCGTAACTCTTTTTATGACTAGCTGCTGACGACGAATGCGTTGAATTGAAATTTGATTGTTGCTGTTGTTGTTGTTGCTGCTGCTGCTGTTGCTGCTGCTGAGATTGTTGTTGATGTTGCTGTTGTTTTTTAAATTCACGATTTTGTTGCTCTGCTTGAACAAGTAAAGAAGAAAAACTATCTTTATGCGAATGTAATGACGGAGGTGGTAAACCAGAAGTCGAATTTGATGCCCGTGAAGAAGGAATCGAAGTGACGGTAATGGAAAACGGTTTTTGACTACTTGTTGGGGGATTTGGAAGCCCTATCGGTGCTGAAGTTGGAGTAACAGTTACGTTTGGTGTAATTGTACTTTTTTTACTATGTTCGGGATAGTGACTACTTTGTTGTTCTTTTGCTGCGCTTAATCCCAATACTATCTCGTCGAGCTTTCTCCGCTTTTTCTCCTTTCCGATTACAGGTTCGTCCGTTGGCTGATAACGTAATAAATTTTCAGTTGTTAATGATATTTAACCGTTTACATAAATAATTATTCAACTAAATAGTTTATATAATCATACATACGCAATTTTTTCTTTTCATCAATTTGTCCAACATACTGTCTAATTTCCCTTTGTTACTGCTAATTTGTTTGTTCTTATTTGGCATTGAAAAATCTTGAACCTCGTTCATAATATCTTTATTGTTATCTGTGCTTGTTTTTGGATATCTAAAATGTACACGTTATCTAAATAAATGATAAAAAAAACATGGGTTGCATCGAGTATAAATTTATAGAGAATTAAATCATACCCGGCAGATAAATCTATGGGAGTTAAAGTACTTGAAGTCCCAGGAATCACGGTTGGTTTTCCAGGAACTGTATATTTTAAATCAAAAGGTATATTTTGCGTTCGCGTTTGCTGGTGTGCCGGAGGTGGTTGAACTGGCGTCGAACGTCTCGATTCTTCCGATTGTGATTCGTCGTTTATTTCCCACGTATTAGATCCAGACAACACGGCAGGTTTGCTTAAAGTGGTCGCGGGTGATTGAGCAACTGTATGACTACTGCTATTTAATAATGCATGAAGTTTCGCTAAAAATACCGAAAAAAATTTATTAATTTTTTCTTTTTTTCAAGTAAAACAATTCTTCGATTTAATCTTTGTTAAGTTTACCTCTTTCGGTTTCTACGTCGATAGCAATATGTCTCTTTCGTTTTTTAGATTGTGAGATATTATTTCCACTTGTTGTGTTACGTGATATTCCATGATCTGTAGTTATGGTTATAACTTCTGAACATTCTTTTTCATTTGAAAGTACGTCTGATTCATCGCCAGCGCTAAAATTTATAGATACAGGCCATTCTTTGTGTTCAATTGCATGTACAATGTGCATTAAACGAGCTTCGATTGCATGTTCCTAAAAAAATTTGTTGTACACACTTTAGATGTGACAAGAACGAACATTGCGAACATTATGTTTTACAATTCTAAATCAATTTTAAACATGCACAAAAATATCGGATTTACCTTTGGCCATTTGATAGCATTGTTACTATTGTGTGACAGAAGTTGCACAACAGTCGGTTCGTTGTAATCTACTGCTTTGTCGCGGAGAACAAATGTATCGATTTGCGTTAATCGTGATAATGGTTGAATAACTTCCAAATCAGGAAACATTGCTTTGAGTTCTGCTGCTTGAACGTTACACTTATCGTCGATTTTGCACACTTTTGCTTTATCTTTGCACGTATCTGCTGATTTACTTTCTGTTATTTCTATTTCCTCCTTAACAGCTGGAGCATCTACTTTCGCACTGACCTTATCGGTTTCAGGCGTTACATTTTCGTTATTTTCAGTTGATTTTTCTACCGTTTCTACAGATTCCTTTTGTTCTAACGAAGTTTTTTCATTCGTTTCTTGGGTTCTTTGGGACACTTTTGGTTTTTCTTCTTCAACTTCTTTGTCTATCTCTGGCGATGCTTCTTTTTCCTTGCTCTGATTTTCTTTTTCCATTTTTATAGGTGTTGCTTCTTCAATATTCGTTGTTACGTTACTTGTTTTTGTTTCATCTACCTTGTTGATTCCTGTTGCTTGATCAGTTTTGAAAATTTCATTTTTTATTGATTCGATCGTTACTTCGTTCTTCTCTTCAGTTTTTATTTTTGTAATATATTCTTTGTCCGATGACACATTTCTTGCGACAGTTGTAATAGTCAATGCATTACTGATAGGTTTTTCTTCAGTTTTATTTTCAGCCTTGATAATGGTTAATTCTACTTGGCTTTTTTCCAAATCCATATGCTCTGGTCGTTTCTCCACGATATTTATATCTTTATCTTTCTTTGCACCCACTTTTTCGATTTTCAGGGTACCCTCGCCTTTTTCTAATTTTACAAGTATTTCATCTTTATCGAATTTTAATATATCTTCTCTATTTTCGATTTTGATTGCTTTCTCAGATTTATCCGAGATCTTGGATGTCTGAATGTTACCGTACATATTTTTATTTAAAAGTTTATGAAATGAGAAATCAGGGTCATTTAAAATAGTTATATCGGTTCTCCCTAAACCATGCTTTGCTGCTCCAAGTAATAATTCTTTATCATGTTTTCCAGGTTGCCACCAGTCAGGTGTATCACCTGATGGTTGACATAACGAAAGTCGTTCTTCCAAATGAGGATGAGACAAAATTTCTTCGCGTATTTTGCTTAGAAGATCTACGCGATCTAATATTTGTCTTGCCTTCGCTGGACTGAGATGGTCAACAGGAACGTCTGAAAAGTCTGTGATATATACATCGTGTTTAGTACCTTAATCTTTATAATAAACTTATATACATTATGGTTTTTTAATCTATATATAAATATATATAAATATACGATTATTTAATTTGTATGTAAATATAATTTTGAACATACCATCCTCGTCATTTAATTTGGCATTACATACTTTTTTACACATCGCTCTAAAAGACATGTAATAATCTGTAAGATCATTATCCGTTTTCTTATCAAATCTAGCTATACTTTTAAATTTAGTCCAATCGTATTGTGCTTTCTTTCTATCATAATTAACACCATATGTCGATACGACTCTTAAAAATTCACTTTCTTCACGCCGTGACCATTTTGTTTTTTGTTCTTCGATACGAGTTCGCTCTCTCTCTTTTATCATAGCTTCCATTTTTTCCCTTCTTTCCATTTTCTATGTGAGATAAAAGAGTTGGTATATATACTATACGACTGTATACTATAATTTTTTACATTAAATAATATCTTAAATACGATAACTTACCAATAGGTACATGGCAAGTTGTTGCAAGTCCCATCCTTGCATATTTAATGGTGGTTCGTTTATTGAACTGGCATGATTGACAGTTGTATCACTTTCCATTCCTGACTTTGATTTTTGTAATACTTTCACATCTTCCTTCTTTACGGTTCGCTGATAGGAAGAAATCACTCGACGTAAACGAGTATTAAGATCAACCACGGAGGGCCAAGTTTTTTCATCGTCTAACAAACCGTCATTTCCTTCGTGACTACTACTGGGTTCAGGCCCAGGTGTATCTGCTTTATTAGGTAAAGCAGGTGAATCAGTAGGTGTTTCTCGATTAAATTTGTCGGAATCTTTTGAATCTTTTATCATTCCAAGAGATTCAACATCTTCGATATCATTTTCTAAACTAGTATCATCTCTGCTGCTGCTGCTGAAATTTGTAAATATTTTAAATTAAAATTTAGCTTAACGCTACATATTTTACATAATATATTTCAATTCTTTTTAATTTTCGCTGAATCAATCTTTCTAATAACGTATTTAATAATAAAAACATACATATACTTAACCAAGTATAAATGTAACGATTATTTTGAAGCTACAATTTAAAGATGTACAACATCAAAACTAAAAAATATTTTTATGTTTACCACTTTAAAATGCTGCAGATACTAAAATGTTACGTTATAAACAGAAGTTATCGAGTATATATAATAATAATAATAATTGACTGTTTGTAAGAAACGCTTAAAGAGATCATTATATATTGGTATATTATATGCATCATCCTTCTCCACTGTAAATAAAAGCTAGTAGAAAGTAATATCTTAAAACAGGTAAAAATAGAATTCCTTCGCTGTTAAAGTATGAATAAAAGTATGAATAAAATGAAAAGGAAAATTTATACACTAATTCTAGCAGAGGCATTATCTTAAGCAAATTTAAACAGCATGCAAGCCATATATGTTAGAATGAAATAGCAGTGGCACATAGATAATATATGTATATATATATGTGTGTGTATATATATATATATATATATGTATATATAAAACAACGTAAAAAGAATAATTACTTACTTATTTTGTATGGTCTGAGACTGGGAAGGGGGAGGGCAGCTTGTAATGAAAGAAAGCGCGGGATCAATCCTCATCTGGTCGTAATTCTCGTAGCCATGTTTGTAGCAGCCAACTATTAAGGATTTGTCTGCTTGGGAGTCCCACCATTTCGCTGGTCGTTCCGTCAACTGTGGAGGGTTTATCCGCAACGCACTGTAGGGCGGTTTCATTTACAATTTGCCAATTTATGTATGCCAATCGTTTAGATTATAAAATAGATTTTGTACTTGATGAATTTTAATAAAACCGTAAATTAAAATGCTTGTTGTTAAATAAATATAAAAAAGAGGCATATTACATTAATGAACAATATTTAAGAAATCACTATTTGCTTTTCTCATCCCTTTCGCATTAATTAAATATAAACGTTTTAAGTAAAGTGTAGGTGAATTTTTTAAACTTCTTGTTCTGTTTGCCCCTTTAATACAGTGCACTGCTTTATAGCTGTTTCTTACCATGATGTTGCTGAGTTGACCATCTTTGACCATAGTAAGCCGTACAAAGTGTTTACAATAATTTAAAAATCGTGTATATATTCATGTTATGTATATATACATGTTCATAAAATAGGATGGGAAAATTTTTATATTAGTAATATAGGATCGGCGATTAATAGCTATTTATAGAGCTACAAAGTAAACATGGTTTAGCTCCATGAGCATTCCTCATACAATTACAGCTCCCAGAATAAACAAATACATTGCACATGCAACTATAAAGCTCCGTACAAGCGTGTAAGTGCATGATATTCTATGATAGTCGGTAGAGCGTAGAATAATGGAGATTTAAAAGTATATATATATATATATATATAAGTATGTAAGTGTATGTATATATGCGCGCGCGCGCATGTGTGTTTATATATATATATACATAATATATATAATATATATACATATATAAAATCACTAACCTGACATGGACGCCATCAGATATATGCTGGACTAAGTCTCCGATAATCTCATGTTTGATATAGTAAAGCATTCGCACACGTAACAGTACTCTGTACACGATACAAAAATTATTTATAATGTTTCAATAAAATTAAACAATATACTCGATTAAAAATATTTTTAAAAGAATTTTATCGTGAAGAATATTATTGTAATAGATGTACGTACTTATTTGCATGGCGACTCAAGTGTTTTCTGTAATTACTTTCAAGAAATATGTCTCCATCATATTTCTCAGCATTACTCCAATGATTAGGATCATTCGGACCTCCATTGATCATTGATCCACGCGTTTCTCTACCCTCTCTGACTCGACCCTTTTTCTTTTGCCTGTTGTTTCTCCCACTAGTATTGATACACATAGTTTTGATTTTTTCTCCATTTTCTACAGGCGTAATAAGATCGCAAATAAAGTTACGAATTTTTTCATCGCCACGATAGTAACGAAGGCAATAGAGTAAAATGACTCGTGCACAATCTTCAACGTCAACTTCACGCCATCCTCGACGAAATTGACTATGTTGAAGAATCTCTTCCCATCGACCCCATCCAAATGTGAGTAAGCCTCGTTCTACTTTAAAACATTCGCTTCGTGCCCAACTTCCATATACCACCTCGCCTTCTCGTGGGACATATTCGTCGCAGAATTTCCGTGTCTTCTTACCAAATTTATCTCTCCGTTTTTTACCTTTTGGTGACAAAAAAAAAATCTTACTATATTCCTTGTTACGACCTCAATGTATTAACGTAAATACAATTTTTCATATTGCAAATATAAATGATTCTGTCGTGATGACGTAAAAAAAGGGAGTATTTGTGATTAATTGTTTAAGAAATTGAAATTGATATTCAAGTAAGTTTATAAATATACAGTATGTAATTACTTATTTCAACAAAGAAAAAATAAAGAGAATTAGCAAATTAGAGAACGGAAAGCCTATTTTTAGAGTTTGCACTGTTTTTACATCGATTTTTACATTTAATGACTTGATGGAAAGGGCTCAATTCAAAGATAATACGTTTCATTGCTCGTCACTTTCCTCCAAGTCGTCACTTAGTTTGCTAAGGCTCGTCACTTTTCTACAAAGTCCTTTGAAACAAAGACAATAATTTGTTTCAAAAAAAAAACATATTCGTCGCAGATCAATGTTTATTTGTTTTACCCTGCGTTGAAATATATCACACGCGACAAATTAAACGTATAATTTTTTTTTCTTTTCCTCGACATTCTCCTGTATTATTATTTTTATGTATGAAATTTGGAATATAAATATGATCTTTCTTTTATGAAAGAAGGGAATTTTTCTTATTCAAAATTAAAATAAGACACGAATCCTTTGATATTTTTAAATACATGAAAATACTGAGCATCTTTTCCATTTTTGTTACTATAGACGAGAAGCTATTTACAGGTTGCAAAGGTGTCATTTATTTTTCACTTTAGTATAACGCTGTATGAAATATTAGGTTATTATAAAACCCAAAAGTTTCTTTCGTTTTATCAATAGACAATGGATATATTGTTTTATATGATGTTATAGAATTATGTATGATCCATTCTGATCTATTATCTTCCTCCATCCTCTTATCGGAAGTCTCGTAATGCCATCTTGTCAAACTTTTGTGATTTGCTAATAAAATATTGTTCGAGATGCATTTTTATGTCGTTTATTGAGTCAAATCTTTGAGCAAAGAAAATTTTTTTAGTAATCAGACGGGACAATATCTTAAAATATAGAGAATCAAACAGAGCATTCCAATCAAATTCTGTATGCAAATCTTATTACGTTATGAAAGAAACTTTTGGGACAACTTAATACACGAGTTATTTGTAAATATAAAGATTGATGGAAAAACTGGCCCGTTCTCTAAAAATTATGATCTAAATAACAATATTAAATATTAAACAGTTGTTAAATAATAAAACAGCATTTATATAATAGCATTTATATTAAAATAATAAAATAAATTGCACTAAACTCTTTTCACAATATGAATATCTTATAAAGAAGAAAAATAATTGCAGAAAGATAGATATTTAATTTGCCATGCGTTACGTAGTATGTTTCAAATTTATGCTACGATAAAAAATTTTTGTAGCGTGTAAAAATAAAATATATTCGAATATTTTAATTTTTGATTTTGATAGATCGAGAAAAATATCTTGTGGAATAGGAGTAACATGTTCTAAACATACTAATGTTGTAAATAGTGATGTAAACGTACATGCATGTGATTATAATTATATGTGTATGTAACATTTATTTACTAATAAAAATAATAGAAAAATATATCTGGTGCTTCTACTTAAGGTTTTCGTGAAGTATTATTTGTAAAAACAAGAAAAATATAATGAAATTTAGAATTTATAGCATTAAAATTTATTTTGATATTGTTAATTTGTTGAAAAACTAAAAAATTTGAATCATTTTATTCTTTAAAATAAAATTTAAAAATTCCTTGATCGTTTCTTTTTTTAACAAGTACAAACAGAAAAAGATTTTAATATACAACAAAAATGAAGTTTGTATCTACAAAGTTTGAAAATTCAATATTTATTCAATGTAAACTTTATTATATATTTACAAAAATTAAAGAACTTTTAAATAAAAAGATATTTAAATGAATGTTTTGTCGATTTATGACAAGATGATTTTTAAAATATTTGAAATGGGATTTAAATATGACCCAATACCTTTATAATTATCGTAGCATAATTCCATTCCAATCACGTAATTTGGCGAAGCTAAAAAAAACGGTATTGTCTTTTAACATGCACTAAGAATGAACATACCTCTACCTGTTAACCCACTACTTGTTTCATCGTCGCTATTATCATCTGAACTATCAAGATCTGACATGACGACAGATTCGTCATGACCGTATCGTTTAATTTGTGTTCTTCGTCTTGGTTCTGATATTACTAGTTCATCCTCTTCTTTTTTCTCTGTTGTATCAATTTCAGCTTTTTTTGCCCATTTCTTCCAAAAATCTGGATCATCAATATTTATATCTGATCTGTTAGATGAACATGCGAAACTAGCTTTTGAAAATGTTGATCCTTTTTCGGCTTCGATTGTAATAATCTGCACAATTGAATTTTTGTAAATTAGTATCGATATATAAAAATAATTAACTTTCGGTAAATGAAATAAATTTGATTTACTTGTGTTCTTCGTTCGAGTATTTGTTCTATATCTTCTTCGCAAAATTTATCTCCGGCATTGTCATCGTCCATAATAGCACCATAAGCACCCTTCTTTAATAAATCTTCTATCTCCTTTTTAGTCAACTGCTTATTACTAGGATCTTTACCACCTTGACTGGTATTCATAGATTGCAAAATTGCTTTATCTAATCCAAGTTTTAAAGAAGCTTTATCGAACATTTCCCTTTCATAAGTATTTCGGCAAAGTAATCGATACACTTTCACCATTTTTTGTTGTCCAATTCTATGACAACGAGCTTGAGCCTGCAAAATTTAATATATGAATTTAATTATATAATATATATGATATAATATAGTAAATTATTGTATGTATAAAACTTAATATATGTATTAATTAATAATTGATATGTATTTTGTGTGTGTGTGTGTGTGTGTGTGTGTGTGTGTGTGTGTGTGTAATATTATACTAATATCATGTATGAATGTGAAAGCTACGTGTAATTTTACTAAAATGGAATAAATTTTAATAAATCAAAACCTGTAAATCATTTTGTGGATTCCAATCGCTATCATATATAATCACAGTATCTGCTGCTGTAAGATTAATTCCAAGACCTCCTGCTTTGGTACAAAGAAGAAAAACGAATCTATCAGAATCAGGTTTGCTGTAACGATCAATGGCAGCTTGTCTTAAATTTCCTCGAATTCGACCATCAATTCTTTCGTATGGATACCTAACCAAATATTTTTAATACGATTTAGAATTATTTTCATTACTTACTATGTTGGTATGAAAATTTAGACAAGGTGAAAAAAAGATTAAGATGTCAATATCTTAAAGTAAATAAACTATTTATGAAAATGTGCGACATTTAAATATTTACGCTAAATTAAAAATTAACAACTTACTTTTTATACAGCAAATAATCTTCCAATAAATCTAAACATTTCACCATCTGACTAAATATTAATACTCTATGACCGCTGGCTTTAAGTTTCGGCAATAATTTATCAATTAATACCATTTTTCCAGAGCTATTTACCAATGCGTGGTAATAAGCTTCTGAATCTTCTTTTTCGCCAGTTTTATAATCCAATTGTATTTGATCTTCTGCGCCATTAAGTAGGAATGGATGAATACAGCATTTTCTTAATTCCATCATTGTATTCATGAGATTTGGAATGTTAGCTGACGTGGTTCCTTTTGCAAGGAAAGAAAAATTCCTTTCTAGGATACCGCGATAATATTTTTTTTGAATATTTGTTAATTCCACCTGGAAAGTAGAAGAGAATAATTTATTATAAACTATTTATATCAATTTCTGACTATACGTAAACAAATTTATGTCAATAATATTAATTACCTCTACTACTGTTTCTTCTTTTGGAGCTAAAGATTTCTCTACATCTTCCTTGAGTCGACGTAACATCATTGGCTTCAAAAGAAGTTGTAGCTTATGGACTTCACTTTCGCTACTCAAATTACCAAATTCTTTAAGGAATGCTTCACTACTAGAAAACTGTACTGGTTCGAGAAAGTTCAATAATGAAAAAAGTTCATTGACATTATTTTGTAAAGGTGTACCAGATAAAAGAACTCTATGTTCTAAGTTTAATTGTCTGAGACCTTCGAGTAACTTGCAATTTCTATTCTTTAATCTATGAGCTTCGTCTATAACGCAGATTCTCCAATTATAACCCCGTAATTCGTTAAAATCTGTTATAATTATTTCAAATGTAGTTATCAGTACATTAAACTTGATTAGATCTTTAATTTGTTGTCCTTTTTCATTCTTATAATAAACTTCGTACTCTTGAAGCATGGTTCGACTTGCTGCACTGTAAACAAAAGACAGTGTAGTAAAAAATATTTCATTCTCAAATATGAAATTACAATGAAATTGTACTTACGATCCGTGATACACTACAACATTCATATCCGTCCAACTTTCGAATTCACGTTGCCAATTTGGAATAGTCGAAAGTGGTGCTATTATTAAAAATGGTCCACGAATTCCATACTTGTATACTGCATCCACAAATGTTAAAGACTGAATTGTTTTTCCCAGACCCATTTCATCCGCAAGAATGCAATTATGTCCATTATACCAGGAAAAAAGCAACCAATTAAGACCTTCCAGTTGATAAGGCCGTAAACTATTATTGTTTTTATAAATTGGTGATTCCTCTAATTTTACCCATGCTGATGAATTTGGTTTCTTTTTTGGCTAAATAAATATTACGTAATAATTATTTTGGCATTAAATATAATTACACTATTATTTATATAATATCGAGCATTACCTTCCATTGATCCTTAGGAGGTACTTTATTAAATTTTATAAATTGGGCTATTTTTTCTGGATCAACGTCTTCTTCCAATTCCCAAGTGGAATCTTCATATTGAAGAGATCGCCATTTGACTAAATAATGTTTTAAAGTTTCTCCAGTTGTTGGATCGGTATGCGTTGCCTCGTCAAGCACTCTATCTACTTCTACAAAATCTGGATTAAATGGATCATCCTCGGTCTAAAAAAAAATCATGATTTTGATTATTCGCATTTATCTATCTAACATTAAGGAATAAAAAAAAATCAGGAAACTGTTGTAATATCAAAACTATAATTACATTTTCAAAAATGTTAGTATTTTGTTGTTGTCTTTGTTTGAATCTTTTTAACTTGGCTTGAATTCGTTTATCACCCTTGTATAATTCTTCTTCGGTCCTCCACTCACAATGTAAATATGAAAAATTTCTATACTTAACAAAATATTCTTCAATTTCTATTATTTGAGGTTTTACATCTGCTGCGGCATTTTCTTGCTTAGATTCTGTAACTGTTTCTTCGCTTTTACTTTTATCTTTTACATCGCTGATACTTTTATCTTCAGAAGTCTCGGTATCATCTTCATCCTTGTTACTTGTTTCTGAGACTGATTCTTTTTCAGAGGTCTCTTCTTTTGATTCGTTTTCTCCTTCTTTAGTCTTCGAATCAGTTACACTACTATCGTTCTTTTCAGTGGATGTTTCAGTTTTCACTTCTGGAACTACAGGTTTAACTTCTCTTTTTCCTATGCGTGAACATAGTATATGTTGCACAACCATAGAATCTTCATCTGTTGTGTTCTATAATGCAAAAAAATTGTTTAAAAAATTTTACAAATCAAATTTCAACAAAAAATACGATAATACATGATACGTACAATATATACAAAGTTAGGTTTATTAGGCCCAACTTCACCACCTTCGTTATCTTTTTTAACAGATACAGGTTTTGCAGTGCTTGTTCCCTCTATTTTTTTGGAGAGTTGAGCATCTTGAAGGGGTACATCATCATCTGAAAATCTAAGCATTACATCGTCCACATATTTCTTACGATGCGTATTTCTCGCTGAACGCCTTTTATTATCATCTCCAGCTTCTGGTGATGGCGGAGGCGTTGCGGCTAGTTCTTCACCATCAGAATCAGGCGCAATTCGACTTTTTCGTTTTCTAATGAGATGTAGCAAAATAATGAAATAAAACATATGTTTAAAAAAAATTAGAAATAAATGAATTACTTCTCGACGTTCAATATTTTAAAATAACGTACTTCGAACTTCTAGGTGATTTCCCTAATGAAACTTTTCCAACTGATCTTTTACGAGCAGCAGCTTTTTTCTTATTAGGTGTAGCAGTTTCTGTTACTGTGCCAGCATCTGAATTTTCTTCTTTCTTTTCATCTGCTGGACTGTCTTCTGAATCTTTTTGTTTATTTTGATCTTTTGTTTCAGTTACCAATGGCTCGGTAGTTGAAGAATGTACTTGCTCTTGGTCACTTTGAGTGGACGGTTCAGATGGTTTTGTATCTGATTCTTTAACTGCACTTGAATCAGAAACTGCGGTTTCCTCATTTTCTTGTGCAACTTCATCATCAGCTGATTCAGAATGATTAGTTTTTCTGTAAGAATAAAAAATGTTTAATGAAATGTTCTATTAGATTAATTAAGAAGCAATGTTTTTAAAGTAACTTACTTTCTATTACGTTTTGTTGAATCTTTGTCCTTATTTCTCTTTCTTGGTGCTTTCGGGGATTTAGCTTCCTTTGGTGGTTTTGGTTCTTTCTTAACTTTTGGCTCTTTTGGCTCTTTTGGTTCTTTTGGTTCCTTTGGCTCCTTTGGTTTACGTGGTTTTCTAGCAGGAGGTCGCGATTTTCTGCCTTTACTCCACTCTTCTTCTATATCACCAGAAGATGGTTTAATATCTTCAGAATCTGCTGCGCTATCGACAATATTGCTACTATCTCCGGGAGTTACTTGATTATCTGATAATGGTTGCTCTGGCTGTTGCTGAGTTATTGGTGCAGGGGTAACTGCCTCTTTATCAGCTTTCTTTCTACTTTTTTTAGCTCTAGGAGTGCCTTTGCTACGACCTCGACCAGTAGTACTTGAAACCTATTTACGAAAAAGATTAAAATAAATTAAAATAAATTTACGAAAAATATTAAAATACATTAAAAAAGTTGTTATCTAAATAACAAAATTTATTATATAAAATTTATTAATAAAAATACAATGTGGTATTTTACCTGTGGACTATCGACAACAGCTGCTGTAAACATTGGAGTTTGCAGTATACATTGTTGTCCACCATTACATTGGTCATTAGTCTCATGTTGTTGTAGAGCTTGCAATTTTTCTTGAATAGAAACAATTTTTTCTTGATTTTCAGTTACTGGAGGCATGCAATATAATTCTTGCAATTGCTGTTGTAATGCAGCTCTTTCTTGATGGTGTGTAACTGGAGTACATGAATTACCAAAACCAGCAGATGTAACTGCTGTTGATGTTGGATTTGACGGCATGTTAAACATATTTGGCATGGTACTACCGCTAATTATATCACCAGAAGGATACTGTTGACCAGAACCCACTAGCACCTCATTTGAATAAATATTATTCTTTTGAATATTTGTATATTCTGTAAAATTTTGTTGCACTTGATGTGAAGTTTGTGTATTTGGCACCGATACTGCGGTTTGATGAGATGGTAATGCAATATTATTGCTTTGATTAACTGTAGGAATTTGTTGTTGATGTGTAGGTGGAACTTGATTAGTCTGATTTTGCAACTGAGAAGCTGAGTTTTGTAAAGGGGCCTGAATCTGTGATATCTGAGATGACACTAATGGTGGATTTTGAGGAATTATACTGACTTGTGAAGTCATATGCGATTGAGATTGCTGTGTTGACTGAACCTGATTGATGCAACTTGAAGCTGGTTGTGATGGTGGTGGTGGTGGTGGCTGTACCATTTGAGGTTGTGAATTCTGTGACTGTGATATCGAAGATTGTTGAGACTGAGTAATTGATGGTTGTTGTTGAGAAGTATTTATTTGTTGCAATTGCTGTTGAGGAGATGATTGTTGACTTGTTTGAGATTGTTGTACTTGATTCATTTGCGGTTGTTGTGAAGACTGCAGCGATTGTTGAGACTGTACTGGAGATTGTTGTGACGATACTACTTGTGGTTGATTCATATGAAGTTGTTGTACTGGTTGTTGTTGTTGTACTGATTGCGGACAATTAATAGGTTGTTGTTGATTATGTTGCTGCTGTTGCGCTGTTTGGTTAGTAACTGCAGATGGTTGAGGGTGTGCAGTTGCACTACTATTGGTTGGACAATTTACTGGAGTCAATTCTAAATGTTGATCATTTGGTTTCTTATCACATGTATTCTGATTCTCAATTGTAGAAACAGGAGTCTGAACTTGACTTTGTGTCAATTGTTGTTGAGATAATGTTGAAATATTTGAACAATCCGCATTTCCATTTGTACTAGAAGTTGGTAAGGATTGTACAGTTTCTTGAGGCATTTTGGTAGATGTATGCTCCAAAGGCGAATTATTTTGTGAACTATTTTGCATCAAATCAGCTTGTTGACTAAGCACATCTTGTTGTTCTTGAACATTTTGATGTAATGTTTCATTCTCTGATTTTGAAGATTCAATTGTATTATGAACAGAATCTGGAGGTACTGTAGAATCTCTAACTGTAGTTTCTGTAACACTATGAATAGCTTCTGTTCCAGTTACTGGAAATATTGACGGATTTTGTTCAGATATTGGAGGTTGAGTTTCTACTATACTTCTATCTTCATTCACATTTTGCCTTATTTGTTGCGGTTGTTGTTGTGGATGCGACCATTGGGTTGGCATAGGCATTCTAGGACCTGCGACTGGTGACATAGAACTTTGTGCAGTAGATTGAGGTAAAACATTTGGTGTCTGTGACATTGATGGACGTGTTTGAAATTGATTATAATCTTGATTTGAAACATTCGAATTTGATACAGTAACGCCCGGAATCACCATTTGTTCCAATGCTTGAAGAGTAGTTTGTTGCGATGTTGGATTCATCTGTATTGAAGCTGGAGGACAAGGTGACACAGACATTGTCCCAGCTTGATTTGATTGTTGATGTGGAAGTTGAACATGTGGATGTGGAGATAATGTATTAGGTTTAGCTGGTGACATAATAGGTCTAGGAGACATTTGTTGTTGTACTGCTGGTGGCCGTGGCGACATCTGAGGTCTAGGTGACATTTGTGGTGACAATTGTGGAAAAGCTGCACGATATTGAGGACTTGTAGCGTGTTTTGCTGTACCAAATTGTGTTGTTGGTCCAGAATGTTGAGGCTGATTAAACATTGATGTTGCATGATGAGAATATTGAGAATCTATTGGTTGTTGCTGTTGTGTGTTAGGATGTTGTGAATGTTGGGGATACTGCTGAGGATGTGAAGGATGTCCTTGATGAGTTGGATGAGAGGGGTGATGATGTGGCATCCTTTGTTGTGGTTGTTGAGTTTGTTGTTGCTGCTGCTGCTGTTGCTGTTGCTGCTGCTGTTGCTGCTGCTGCTGCTGCTGTTGTTGTTGCTGTTGATGAATAGCTGAAGCAAAGCCTGGATATCCAGGAGACGTTTGATACATTGTGACGGAATTTCCTTGCTGATAATGTTGCTGTTGTCCAACCATATGTTGATAAACACTACCTGTTCCGCCAGCTTGCATTGCTTGATGTGGCACACCCATATTTCCTATCATATTTTGCTGATTACTAAAATGTTGTTGCTGCTGTAATTTCTGATTCATCACTCCACTTTGATCTTGCTGATGAGAATACTGTGGAGGTATATGTTGTCGATAAGTACCAGGTTGTGGTGCCATCTGATTATAATGTCTTTGCATTTGTGGATAAGCGCCTCCACTGCCTGGCCAACCTTGCATACTTGGATCTAGAGACATATTTGCTCTAGTCATTGAATGTTGTTGCTCCATTGAATACATATTATCATTATAGTTAGGATATTGTCCTCCACTACCAGGATGAGGCCCTCTATGTTGTGGTGCTATATTTCGAGCTTGATTTTGAAATGCTCCTGGCACCATAGCACGCTGTGGTGCACCATTATCAAACGTACCAAGATTTTGATTAAACATGTTGCGTTGTGGTGGATTTTGCAATTGATTAGAATTCCCAAAATCAGATCCACCAAACGTACTTAATTTTTGAAGCGGAGATTCTTGAGATATATAAGATTGACTAATATAACTCCCTCCTCCATTAACACCAGGGTTTGAACCATCTCTAGATACTACCACAGAATTAGTTGTGCCTGCAGGGTCAACAAAATGATCGTTCCCCCCGAGGTCAGGAAGAGCATCAAGCATCGAGCCACTAACATCTTCACCAAACAAATCGTACGAGTCCATGTCTATGCTGCAGGACTCTTCGCCTCTATTTCAGGCTTAAGAGAATATCTTATAATCTCTTTTTCAGACATTAACGTGCCCATTGTTAATCCAAGTCTTTTTTGCCTGAAACAATGTTCATTGAAATTCTATTAAATATTAATTTAATTTCATATAAATTTTAATGTTTTTAATTAGTATTTATGTAACACTTATAATGTTTAGTATTACATATTATATGATGACAATGACAAATGCCAAAGGGAAAAAGCTATACGCTTATGGCTTAATTTCTCATAATCGCTATAACCTTTCCCCCTTGGAATATGCCTTAATATCATTTTTAAATACATATTTTCAAAATAATATATATGTATAAATTATTGTTTCTAAACACTTTTTTATTGATACTTTATTTGTATATTATTAAAATATTATTCCTCGCGCGTGTATTATATTTAACGAAGTATGAAAACAACACCCCTCATCACAGTAAAAGTAAAATTTAATAAATTTAGCTTTATATTTATAAATATCATATTTTAAAAACTAATATATCAATTAGTATCTGGATATAATTAGTATTTACATATTTTTAAAATTTCAACCTTTTGTTGATTTATATTTATCATTAAAATAAAATCTTCATTAACATAATTAACGTAAAATAGTCAAAATTGCTACAGTTTAATAATTACTGTATTTATTGTATGTTTTTTAAATAATACAAGTATTACATTACATATAGTTTCATTTGTACAATTTTTATCAACCTAAATTTAAACTGTTCTCGATACATTGGATGTACTTGTATATATTCATTATTATGATCAAATTAACATAACCTAACATTAAAAGGAAATAAGATGGCAATAATTTGATTATAATAAAATGTGTACGAATAATACATACAAAAAAGATTGAAAATAACTAAGATAATTTTATAAATTTATTAGAAATGAAAAATAATTATTTTATATTAAAAATATGAAACCGATATGTTAAAAAAAATTTGACTGAATATACTAATGAAATCATTTAAACAATATAGAAAATTAATGTAATTTTCAAGAAACGACCGTTGTTTATTAAAAAGTTCACGCCATTTTATCCATTTAAAAGGAACAATAAAAGATTCGTGCTCGCTATCAACTAGTACAGGCAATAAACTTTTTTTTTTCATAGTAACAATATGGTATTACTGCATGTTACTAGCACGCTGGAGAAACCAATATGCAAAAATCCTCAAGTATCGATGCATGCACGTAAACACAAAGCGAGAGAGAAACTGAGAAAAAAGGGGAGAAAAAAAAAGAAAGGAAGAAAGAAAAACACTCTACAAACCTGAAGCACTGACAGCAGTACTAAAATATACTTAAAGAAACTCTTGCTCTTATTACGATACGAACTGAAAACGTACACATTGAATATAATATAAGGGTGAACAAGAAGAAACTGTTAAGATAGGTGTAGAAAGTTCTCACACTTTATTGCGGGCGTAATTTTATTCTCGACAAAATTCTATTCCCTCTCACGAATCCATGGAATTTCGACACGCGAGTTAAAATACGAGCATAGTGTACAATATTAGAGGCAGTTCGAGCGACTTGGTGAAAAAAAAGCACGGATCGTCGGAAAGTACGCCATTATCGTGAGAGATTTCCGTTTGGGCTTCCAAGAGCACTCTCGTAGCGGCCACCGCGACGCTCGATATTCAAGCACCAAAGCGTCACTTCACTTCGCACAATTCACTAATTTCTTTCTATATTTCGTAGGGAACACTCATCCGGAGTCTATATTACTCGATGGACGTAGTTATATGTTAATGTTTTAGCGAAAAACCACCCTCATTTGCGCGCGCGTATACAAGATTTTCGTTGACGGTGGCTGCGGCTGCGGCTGCGGCGCGAACCGTCGAGGTGCAAGCGTGTCCATAGCTCCGAATCATTCTACACATCTCTTTGCTGTCCCCCCTCTCGCTCTCTTGCCCCCCTCCCACCCAACCCGAGCCCCTTTTCCCTCGCCTTTCCTCTTTTAGTACAGTTCACAACGAAGGACTTCTCTCTTACTCTACCCTAGCTTGTCCTGTCCTGCTGTACAACAGAGGCCGTCACCAACACCAGTTAGAAATCGTAACATCTGTAGAAACTTATACAGCTACCTTTCACGTCATGCGCACACACTCACTCACTGCACCACCTGGTGGCGCGCGCATCTCTCTTTGCCACTTAAAAACCTCTGTACATGTATAGCACGCGCATGTAATGAACATGGAAAAAAAGAAAGAGAAAAAAAAAGAAAGACACACATCGCATTTGAATTATTTACATTTTCCAGTTTATTATTGTGAAAGTAACTATTCATTTCAGACCGGTGAAATCAATAATGTAATATATTGGGGAAACATCAAATGATCCTCTGTATTTTAACATCTTCGATGTAATGTACCTTGTGCCTCAACGTCTTCGATGTTCGTTACTAATTAGAAAGATTCTTTAATGAAATAAACATCAGGAAACGTTCACATTGAAAAAGTAAAGTAATTGTAATCTAATAACTGGATATTTATAATGTGATCACGATGTTTAGTAATAATTTGATTGACGTTTAAGAATTTGATTGATTCTTCACTCTAATGAATGAGATGTCATGATTTTTCTTTTTCTTTTCTTTTTTTATAATTTTGAAATGCTTTGTATTATTTTTTTTCAAATTTTTTTATTCTTTTGGTATAAACAGCTTTTACTATAAACAGAAATAACAGAATTTACGCATAAAAAATAAAACTTTAAAAAATCAACGTATATAAAAAATAAATTGATTATGTACATTATCGTCCAGTAAATATTCCGAATTATGATAAAATTCAAACTATTAGTCAAGAAAACAAAAACTTTCTACTTTCATCGCGGTTATATGACTGAAATATATGAGAAACAGAATTCAAAAGACAATTCAGATATGTATTCGAATGAATTCGAATTACTTAACGAATTACATTTAAGCAATTTTGGATAACCAATGTTTATTTATTGACTTCTTCAAAAATTGAAATAACAGACAAAATATTTAATATTCAAAATGTGTTAGTATATTTCCTGGTAGTAAAATTATTAGTAGAAAAATTTGTTTAATTTTCTAAAAAAAAACTTAATCAAAATCATTGTGTAATAGATGCATGTAGATTTTGATAATTTTAAACATTGACAATATGCATTGTTACGACGATTATGATTTAAAATTAAACGAAAATAATTTAAAATTAAACAAAATTAATTTACAAAACATAACAAATGTAAGAAGAGAAATATAAGCAGGATATAGCTATTTAAAGTCATGGGTAAAATTACATGTGTAAGTAATACTATAAAACAAATTTTGTGAAATACGAAAATACACAATTTACTGTAGAAAGAAAAAGATCAATGAAAATTATGGATCATATTTTTTCGTGCATATCGACAAACTAGATATTACATTCTTATTTTCATTATTAAAAGTAATTATATTGTATCTTTTAAATATACTCTATAATGATCGTATATAAATATGAATCATATATAAATGTACGAATATCGTATGTACATACATACGCATGTAAATATCACATACGTAATAGTGAAGTTTAATGTGCAAATGTAGTATCATTAAATGAAAACAGAAAACAACGGGAAGAAAAGAGATTGGACGCTGCAACCTTCCAAGAATTACACTCCTAGCACATAAAGTATTTGGTATCATGGTAAAAACACACAACGCAATTGGCGGTAGTAAGGCGGAGTCCGAATTATACCACAAAGAGAACCAATCAGATTTTACCTTATAAAGTAGGATACCAGGGCAGGATATTCGATTAACCAATCCTGTCCTTTAGGTATCAGCTTAAATGTGTAAGTAAATACATCTTTAATAAATCACAAGTATATTTAATATTGTATATCAGTTTTGTAAATTGAATGCATATATATGTACATATATATTGCGACGGTAAAGGAGTCAAATCACATAATTGACTGAGTAATGAATTAAAATTAGCAATGAATTAAAAAAAAATAAATTGTAAAAAATTTGACTTGTATTGTGTCACAAATTTTGTATTAATTTTTTTCATTCTGAGATTACAAATCTTTGTGAATGTTATAATTATTGATTTATATAGCTTCTAAAAATAATACTAATAATACATTTTTTTTTTAGTAAAAAGAGAGTAGGATAAAAAACTTATCTTGGAGAGAGAGAGAGAGAGAGAGAGAGAGAGAAAGAATTTATTATGATTAGCAATTATTGAAAATCTATAAATAATAAGCTTATGCTTACCTTAAAATAAGTACATAGATCATGAATTAACTCTTAAAAATTATTATTTTAGAAAGGACTTATTTTATCTTATATTTTAAATAGTTCATAACTAGAGCAATAAAATATTCTCATGCAGTATGATTCAATAATTCAATAAATTTAAACAAATGCATAAAAAAAGTGACTTTATGTAATCTAAATAACACTCAATAATTACAATCTTATTATATATTAAATGGACAAAAAAAATAATATGATAAAATATAGTCAACCTAACAATGACCCTACATATCCCTATGCAATCTACAATTGAATCACAATTTATTATGAGAAAAAAGGTACAAAATAAAAATGAAGAAAATTCATACCTTTTGCTAACAGAAATAAAACACAGCACTGATAATATAGAAAAATTATAATGTAAAAATTGCAAGAGATCAATGAAAAACATTGAAATATTAAGGTAGATAGAATGATATATTTTTACTTTATATACTGAATATCTATGAATGTAACGTAGCATTATACAGTTTCTAGCTTGAAATGTCAAAATTAACTTTCAATATTGTTAAAATTAGGAAATATATAAACAACTTATACAAAGGTACAAATTTTTACTATAAAAAAATCAGGATTTCGTAATAATTAAATAAAACTCACTGTAGTGTACACGTTAATCCCATTCTCCTGGTCATTCCATGTAAATCTACTGCACGAATGTTCGCTTAATCGTTATCTTGGTGTCCATTTTGTTTGGTTAATTACTGAAGAGGCGTCAGTGCTGCCGTCGATTACGTTGACACAACATAATGGTTCTTCCGTGATTGGAGCACAATATATGTCAGAAATTCTAATTCTTTTTAACAATTTTACAAATAATTATATAAATTTGAATTCTACAATATCATTATAACAAATTAAAATCAAATTTAAAACATCTTAATAATAGCATATATTTCTATTTATATTTCACATATTGACCACTCCATCTTTTCAACGATAACCCAATTTCGTAAACGAATAGAGAAGAAACGAGAGGCTTTTTGCTTATAAACACATCGATGGTGTCGACACTTTGTGGCATACTGAATTTGCGAAATATAAGAAATTATAATTTATTAAATTTATCTACTATTTTATAAGATAAATTTATAAAATTATTATGTATATAATACTACTATTATTTATATAATGAAATAATCACGTCATCTTTTGAATATATTTTAAAAATTTCTATTAAAGCATATGTTATGAAATTTATTTGTAAAATTTTGATTTATTATTAAATTTTTCTATAGTGCAATATATATATGAATATGTATATGATATATATTTTAATAACTTGATTATTCTTTTTTTCTACATAAATAAATAAGATTTTACATAAAACTAAAATTTTTTTAGATACACACGCATTTTCATGTATGCTAAGTGTATAATTATTTATAAATATTTAAAAAATTATACTTTAAAATAGCTTTTAACAGTTAGTAACTGTTTTTACATAAAATTAATTTTAACATCGTGAAATATAATAGCAAAAATAGAATCATTTAGTTACATAGAAATCAGCCATTATATATGGATTTCCACTCTACAACTTTATGTAAATTCATGGTATACCTGTGGCTTTGATAGTGTTGTGTTTGATTTTTTTAGAGGCTTACTTTATTAACGAAAAAAAATATTGCAATTTTAAAGTGAACTATTGATTGCAAATTTAATGTTTAAATTATTATAAATTTGCAATATATAAGTAATATTACAAGCAATATTATAAATTTGTAATATATAGTATTTGTAATATATAAAAGTAGTAATTTATACAAATAATTTGAAGTTTTTTCATAAAAAGTTAATTGTAGTACGTATTTTATAAAAATATATGTATTTGATTCTTGCATCTAAAAATATTTAAATACAGTTTTAATAAAATCTTTCAATCATTTTTGGTTGTTTATATTTAATTTTGATCTTTTATTTAATATATCAAAGAAAGTAATATATGGTATCATTTTGTTTATTTATCATAGAATATAAGATAGTATTTATTTATTATAGAATGTAAAGTTTAATTTTATTTTTAGAACCATGTCTAGCACATCGCAAAAACATAAAAATTTTGTTGCCGAGCCAATGGGTGATAAGCCAGTTACAGATCTTGCTGGAGTTGGAGAGGTTTTAGGACGTCGATTAGAAGCAGCTGGTTTTGATAAGGTATAACATTTTTTTTCTTTTTTTCATTTAATTTATTATTATGAAATAAATATAGTATTTATCAACAATATTTTTTTATAGTATATATCAAAAGTTCAGAGGATGAGTTAATAAAGTATATAAGTTAATAAAAGTATATAAGAATAAAAACTCAATATAAATTTTAAATAATTTTATGTAAATAACATATAATATTTTTTTTATGTACAAGTAATATAGCGAATGAAAAGAATGAAAAATTTATTTATATCTATATTTAACATATGTATTAATATTTGTTAATATTTATATGTATTAATATTTATAGGCATATGTAGTACTTGGGCAATATTTGGTTTTAAAAAAGGATAGAGAACTGTTCCAAGAATGGATGAAAGATGCATGTTCTGCTAATGCAAAACAATCTAGTGATTGCTATCAGTGCCTCTCTGATTGGTGTGAAGAATTTTTGTAAAATAATTATAAAATTTAATGTTAATAATATAAAAATGAAACTTTTAATAGCAAAGTATCTATCTATTGTAATATTTTAATGCAAAATGTAAGAACTATTTCACTTTCGTGAATTCAAAATAATTTTTGATAATCTTACTATAGTATAATGAAAACAAGTATTTTAGGATATATTTTAAGATTTAACATAAATATAATATGATATAGCAGATTTATAATTTTATCTAATGTTAACATTGTGTATCAGTAAGATATATCATTTTATAAATTAATATTAATTTTCTGCAACATTCTACTTATTTTTTTACTCGTGTATTTTTTAAATTATTTTTTATCCTTGCATATAAAGGAACATGTAAACCACTGTGCAAAAAATTTTTAGTTTTTGTACAAAATTGTAAGAAGTGTGAAACTTCATTTGAAAATATATTTTTGGATATATCTAATAATTGAAATATTTTAGTATATCACAAATATATGGAATAAAATATAATATTTTACACTCGAGATGAATTTATTGAACCCTGCAACTATATTATATATATATACACATATATGTATACAATATATATTATATATATAAAATATTTTTTCGTAATTTATATATTGTATGATTCTAATGAATAATTAAAAAATAATAAACATGAATTAATAACTATATGTTTAATATTATATATATTGTTTTCTTGAAGAAACAAGGTCTGTATTAATTTATCACTGTAGATTATAAGGTTAAGTAATTCAAATAAATCGTGAAGCACACTATATTAAATTTGGTAGCAAATGTCAATTTATCATGATAAATATTTTATTGAAATGTGTAAATCTTTTAAAAGTTCACTTAAAAGTTGTGATATTAATTGAAAACAAAAAAATGATACATTTTGTATCTCAACAATGTTATAAATCATGTAACATATTAAAAAGGTTAGTTATTTAATTTTTTCCATTTTTATTAATATAGTTTATAAACGTTTATATATTAATAGGAATGTAATAGTAAATAGTGTCAAATCATATCAACAAGAATTGATAAATAAAAAATTTGATAACATGTGTAGTAGTATGGAAATTCATAAATGTATATGGAGGACAGAAATGGCAAGTATTATAGATCTTATAGATTCAGTGTGTAAGTATAATAAACGTAAATGTAAATTATATATATATTATTAATACATACGTAAAATAAAATTTTTGTTGAGAAAATGCATATGTTATTACAGATGTTATTGATAATTATAAGATGCTTTCTTTACTTTACTGGTGTAATAATGTAACTGACTGTTTATCAGCAGATAAAGTAAACTTTGGAAAATCATTATGGATACTTTTACATGTGTGCAGTATGTTTTCAGTATTTATTTTATAATTTAAAATTGCAGTAGATTTCTTCTTAACTGTCCAGTATGAAATCGGTCTATCATCATAAATGAATAAATTTAATAAATAATGTTTGAAATAAAAATACTTTTAACAATAAAAATACGTGAAAAATATTACATTTTATAGAACTAATTTTCAATATAACTAATAACTTTAATATGACAATTATTTTATGTATTTAGAATTGCTTTAGAAAAATTACAATCTATTTCTATAGCAAACTTGACTGGTTAAAACAGAACTGAATAAGAAGGAGTCTACTGCAATCATAGACGTAATTTAACATCTTTTTTACATTGAATTTGAAGATTTCGAGATATCTATAGCCCATTATAATGCACTTTTAAGTTTATACGTAAAAAATGAATATAATTTTTCAATTATGGAATTATTAATGGACATGAAATCTAAACAAATTTATCCAAATAGTACTACATATGATATATGTATAAAATATTGCTGTATGAAAGGAAATATTGACACAGCATTAATGCTTTTTAAAGATATGAAAACTGTACGTTTTGATGCAACAGAATCTACCTTTAATTTATTAATGTTAGGATATTCTAAATCTGGGTAAATATGCATTAAATAAATATGAATTTTTATATATGTGTAATATCTATTTATTTTTTAAATGTAATTTGAATAATATATTTTTCAGAGATATAGAAAATGTAACTAAAATTTTAGACCATATGGAAAAACACGAATTGCAGTCAACTACTGAAACATATGCTGTTCTTATATCCACTTATGCTGAATTAAATAATATTGTTAAAATCAAAGAAATAATTCAGATGTGTAATTTAAAAAACATACATTTCTGTAATAATAATATTTTAAATATAATTTATATATTAGCAAAAAATAATAACATCCAAGATGTTCAAAGTGTAAGAATTTGAGTTGATTGAAAACTTTGTGGTAAAGCAACATTAACATGTATCATAAAAATTAGAAATTCAATATTTTTTTTAGATGTATAAATATTTAAAAAAAAAAAATACCATTTCAAATGAGGAAATAGATGTTATATTAAAGTTAATAAGTATCAATCACATACATATAGCTATGACAACACTTTCATATATAGGTTTACATGATAAACATCCACAATTTGGAAATGTCATAAGATTAATTTTAGAACACATAGTTGATAATAGCGTGGTAAGAACAATATATCTTTTTTTGCTATATTTTTCACATTTTGATATTTATTTATATTATTTTAGATGATTAATGACATAATAAAGTTACTTATTACTTTTAAAAATGAAATAACATTCAAAAAATGTTTTTCAATATTAATATATTATTCGTTAATGAAAAATAATGAACTGTCTCTTCCTTTACTGAAAATATTTAAAAATTATTGTTTGATAAAACCACATTACTTTTGGCCACTTTTAATTAATGAAGCAATTAAATATAATTTCCAAGGTATGTATTTTATGTATAAATATATTGAAATTTGTCAACAATAATTATTTCATTAATATTAATTATATCAACAAAAATATATTTTTAGGTATTTTAGATATTCTTAAGATCATGATCAATGATTTTAATGTATTACCTTGTATTGATACAATTAGTGAATATGTTTTACCATTTAGTTTTGGAGAAATGTCCCACACAAAAAATTTATTAATGAAATATAATGTAAATGAAACAATGTTCAATAATGCTCATGTATTATTACTATTGAGAAAAAGAAAGCTAACAGAAGCTGCTACATACAGTAAGTGTAAAATGTTTAAAAAATGTATAGAATAAATATATTTCGATTAATAATACTTATTTTTTTATAGTGCAATATTCCAAAGGTGAATACTTTTATAAAATTATTGCTCCTAATCTCAGATATGTTTCGTTATTTAAAAACGATTCACAAAAGTTTGTAAATATGAGTAAGATCCTAGTAGATTCTACAAATTCTTCGGTAGATTCAGATCTAACATTAATATTGAATAATAAATCGTATAAAACAACATTTGTATCTATGGACAAACAGTTATATGATTTTATGATTGAGTTTCCATCTCAGAAAACATGGTTTATAAATGTAAGAAATTTTTAGATTATAAATTTTGTATAAATTATTGTCATAATTTTTTTTTAAGTTTAAAAAAAGAAATTTTTCTTAATTATCTGATATTTCTCGACGAATTGAAACTAAAAGTACAAGTTCAAGAGATCACTAATTTAAAAGTTATATCTATGTACATAAAAATAAGCATTTTTAGTGTATTTTTTATTATTTTGATGTTACTTTTTATGTTACCGATACAATCTTTCAATATTATGTTTTATAATTTGTATTTGAATTAGATTTATTTAAACCGCCCTATAATCTTACAGTTTTAACTTTTGAATTAAAAAAATCCTTTTCATGTCAAAAAGATCTTGTACAGGCCATTCAAATTATGCATAGAAACCAACATGATGTTATAATAATTTATAAAGTATAACTTTTGAACTAATTTCCTAAACTTAAAACTTGTACTTCTGGTTTCAACTTATCGGAAACTACCAGGCAATAAAAAAAAAATCAATAATTTTTAATCTCTGAAAGTAAAGTTTAACTATCATTTTCATAAGATGTTAAAAATATACTTTTTATAATTATATAATTACATAATAGAAAATAGTAAAAATTAAAGATAATAATCTAATAATTAAAATTTTATTGTTATTTTTCTAGGTAATAAATAAATTAATGAAGTGCAACATTACCTTAGAGACTGAAACAGTAGAAGAAATACGTAAATTTTTACATGAAGAAACAACAAATGACACAATGTATGTTCTCAAAAGTTTAAAAAAATAAAATATTGTAAAAGTACTTGAAAATTTTAATTAATTTCAAATTGTATAATTTCCTTCCATGTCTATCATAATATGTGATTTATTTATTATGTAATTAAAATTATAGATAAATTAAATAAGAAGAAATTGAATTAATAGTAATTAAAGGGAAGATAAACATTTTGTGCAAATTAATTGTTTGTTATATTTTTGGTCTTTTGAGTATTTACAGTTTTCCGAATTTTTTGTTGAATTATAGGTATAAAAAATAAAAGCAATCCACTGATAGTTATCATACCACCGGCAGTGAAAAATCCAGGATCATAAGATTGTAATACATCATATAGCCATCCTAGAAACATGAATTAAAAATATGAATGAATAGCTAGAATAAAAATAAAACTTATTTAATCCTTTGAGCTTGGGAAACCTTTTATCAGCAAAATTTTTTATTATTTTTTAAATGTACAGAATTTATAATTAGAAATGTTCCAATTGACATATTTTTAAAGATATTGGCTCATGGATCTCATTGAAAATAAATGAAAAAAGATCTACTAAATTATTTTCAAACGATCTACTTATGAGACTAATAAATTATGAGATTAATAAATTTCAAATGATGATGTAAGAGTAATAACATAAATTTAGGCTTGCAATCTAATTTAGCTTCAATGATGCTAATCTGCAATTAAAATGTTATATTCTAAAATAAATAATAGTGATCTGCGAAAACAGAATTTAAGAGTTATTTTTTTTTTGAAAGAATAAAACTTGTTTAAATTTTTTATATTTGGTATTCTGAAAGATTCCAAAGAAATGATTATTTTAAATTTAAATTCAAATTTAACAAATCAGTCAAAATATTGCCTTATGTACCAAAGCATTATGGTCCCGAAACTCAAAGCGTTAATTTTTAAACCATTACAATTCCAAAATTGTAATAACATTGTAAACACACCTGCAATAGGTGGCCCTAAGAATGATGCAAAACCTTGAAATAATAAAAGTTGACCAAAAGCATTGGTAAGGCGATTTAAACCCAATAAATCTACTAAGATTACAGATGTAAGACCAACATAAGCTCCAGATGTGAATCCAAATATGGAGGAATAAAATGTGAATGATACAAAAGATGTGCAGAATGTACTAAGAATTGTAGCTGGAAGAGCAGAAAAAAAAGATTAAGCATCTTTTAATATTGTTTGATTAAAAAGTGGTAAAAATAATACTTACAAATACCACATATAGTAAGACATAAATTATATATTAAGAGCCGATTAATCTCTGGTTTATCTGATACATATCCTAAGATTATACGTCCAACTGTATTAGCAATTCCAATTATTGCAAGAAGATAATTTGCATCTTTTTTATTAATTCCTCGTTCTTCAGCTTGAGGCTATAATCAATATTTTTATTATGTACGCATTTTATTATTACATATGTATACATTTTTTATATATACATATTAAATTAATATTACGTATATAGTAATATAATTTTATTATCATAATAATCATTCATAATCATGACACACACACACACACACACACAACATAGTTCTTACGAATATATATTAAATAAAAGATATTTATAAACAGATTTTATCATTAAAAAATTAAGACTATATTTAATAAAAACTCTTATACATACCAATACATAGACGTATGGTACATAAAATCCAATACTGGTACAAAAATTAGAAAAAGTAAATAATATAAATACTGGATCTTTTAACAGAGAAATATTGATATCTTTTTGAAAGGTATCTGCCTCTGTGTCAATAGAAGTTTTAAATTCTCTATTATCCGTTTTTACATATTCTATTTTATTAGGTAAATTTGTAGAAGACTCAATATGAAAGATTTCTTCGCTATATTCTTGTATTAAACTAGAACTGTAAATAAAAACTAAGTATAAATAATAATTACATTACAAAATTATAAAATTTTACATTTTACATAGTGAAAATGATGTCCCTGTATTGATTAATGTCTCTGTATTTTTATAACAATAATTTCATATATATTTTAATGCTTTTTAGGAATATAGAAAAAAAAAGAAAGAAAAAAATGAATTTCGAACAAATACTGACTGCTCTTTATGACTGTTCTCTGAACTGTTTTGTACCATGTTATTCGAGATTAAAACAGGTTGACTCAGGGATCTTATACCAGCATTATTATTATCCTTTTGAAAAATTACACTATATGTATTTTTACATTGTTCCTGATTAGATAACGTATTTGAATATTCCTGACGAATATTTTTCACGTTCCGTGAAGATTTCTGAAAATCAAATATTGAATCTAAGACAATACGATATTGCTAATTTAAACGTAAAATATTTTGCATCTTATTCGATGCATTTCCTGAACATATACATTCATATATAAGTATAAGTTACGCTTGCATTCATTTTAACTTTCCATTATTTCGATATCATATATACTTTAATGCTGCTTATTATACAACGTAATCGCGCTGTTATGAAATTTCTTACAGTAATACATACGAGAATCCTGTACCTCTGTAAAACTTCTTATTTTTCGTTTATCCTGAAGAGGTCTGAAAAGCGCTCCGAGAACGGTGCAATTCAAAACGATTCCAGAACAAATTAAAATCGCTCCTCGCCATCCATATTTGGCTATAAGGTAATCTAAGCAAGGAGCAAAGATTAATGTGCCCAAGCCAGAGCCGCATACTGCGATCCCCGTTGCAAGAGACCGATATTTCTCAAAGTAACATGTCACAGTAACAATCGCTGGTAAATAGATCAAGCCAAATCCTAATCCTGCAATAGTAATAAGTTGCTATCGAATTCATCCATTAAGAAATTTGATACAAAATGGCAAAAGTATCTTGCTCATTACCCGTTCCGATGCCGATCGAAAAGTACAATGTTATAATATTTCGAGCCCACATACTCGCCAGTAAACACGCACTTGCCAATATCGAGCCAGCTATAGTTACAGCTCGACATCCAAATTTATTTACAAATATACTTGATATTGGACCTGTAATAAACCTTTCGTTACTCCTTTTTCACAGTTAAGTTCTTTCAAAATTATTGTCGATCAAAGGTTTACCTGAGCACAATGTAACACCGACTAATATCGACGCGATCCATGCCGTGGCACCTTTTCCCTCCTCGAAATAATACAGAAGTTCTAGATAAAAAACGCCGAACGAATATGTCACTCCGTCAGCTGTAACAAGAAATTATTGTTATTTGATATTAATATGAAATTTCATGTTAATGTAAAATAATTAAACGAAAAGAAATTGTCGATCGAAGAATTAAATAACTTCTTCTTCAGAAATGCACGAATGTTATTTTAGCTCTCGCTAGTGAATTAACATTATCATTGAACAGTAAATAAAAACATTGATAATAAAATGTACGATCTATTCAATATAAATCATCAACAGGAAGTTGATTCTCCTCTATCTAAGTTACTACTTCATTATTATTCTCCTCTTTGGCAAACTATTTCTCTTGTTTTATTTTACTCTCAATTATATAGTCACAATGAATATAATCAATTATTGCGATATTTAAAAACTAGACTATAGAAGAATAATATTCAATGAATGAAATAATAAAATAACACATACGTTTAAATACAATTTTAATGATATTTTTAAATAGAAAACGCATCTAGTAAACCTAACTTAAACCTAACCTAAACCTAACCTAACACCTGGGTGGTAAAATGCAATCTTTGGTCGCTGCCATGTAAAAGGCATATTTTTCGTATCATGTTCCGATTTTACGTATCACGAAACCACTATCATGCGTAATTAAAGTTTCGTTGTGTGCGTATATTTTCATGTAACAAATGACGAGCAAAGTGCAATAACTAAGGAACATAATGCAATTTCATTACGGATAATTTCTTTGTGACAAAAAATTCAATTCGTCACATGGCGCATTAATATTGAATTACTTTTTAAGTGGAGGCAATTCCAATTGTTCTAATTCTTTTTTTCGCATGTTTATACTTCGTACATGTTTGTATTGGTATCGATAACCCTGCCACCATAATTTTTTTCGTCACAGATAAAATCGCCGCTTTCAAATTTTAATTCAACGTCTAATCTAATACAAGCTTGCGGCGAGAAGAGATCCAATAGAAATATTTTTATGTGTATTGCAGATAAAAAGCCAAAAAGAAATACAGATAAAACATATCGTTTCAATGTTTCTGTAATGCCAAAGTCAGCGTTTCTTTCTAATCTACATATTTCTTCTACTTTTCGGAAGCTTGGAAACTTTCAGTTATTAATTATTAATCATCTATAATTAGCTATAAATTAAAATCTGATCGTTAAAATTGATCATTTCATTACGAACAGTTACATCGAGTGATTATAGATATTTACAAATTTCTAATACTATATAAATATGCATATTTATGAAAGGAAGATCATTATTCGTTAAGACACGTACATATATTTGTGGAAAAGTTGAAACCAGGAAGACATCAGAAATACACGCGTAACAAGGTCATCTCTTTTATTCGCACGATCACGCACATATTTGTGTATAATGTAGACATTCTTAATTTATTGTATTTGGTAATATTCCGTTTTGTAATAATGAACAGGTATTATAAATTTATTCTCGGAAAGCTTGTCAGCAGTGTCACTCTTCTTTCATGAATCATATTTTGAATATGATAAGAGACTTAAAATACAGGAAATAATCTTAATTTATTTGTTTTATTTGATTTTAATTTGTTTGTCTTCATTATTTTCTTTATTTAGCGTATTAAATGTATTAAATATATTAATTAATATTAATATTCTAAATTATAAAAAAAGTGGTAACATAGAATAAACAAAGTAGAGAAGTTTCTTCTAATTTATTTTTGTAAAAAAAAAATAAACCTTGTCTTGTTAGTGTATAAATCATAAATTACTATTAATGAATTTTTCACTTGAGATCAAATTCTTTTAAATATAATGCAAATACAAAGCTCAAAAATTTAACAATTTCGTTTACAGTAAAGTCTTTTTTTTTTTATTCCGTTTTATCCCAAAATATTTTCTTATGCCAAATTAATAAAGATATTATTTATCCGATTAATATATGCACCTAAAACGTGATCGTAATGATAAGTTTTTCGAAAAGCTTTTTTTAAATTTCTTTTTTTAACATATAAAATATAGTATCCACTTTATTGGACAAGCATAATTCACGTTAAACTAACAATACTTTAAATATATATGCATTTAAAGAAAATATAAAATTTGAAATTAAAAAGGAGAACTGTATATAATTATATAATAGTTATAACGTTTCTTTGATGTAAACTTTAAGTTAAACTTTGAATGGAACTTTAAGAAAATGCAATGAAATTGGTAAAAATTGACAACTTACCAATTACGTGGATTAAAAAGGATGCTAAAACTATAACACAGCCCCATCCTCCATCCGGTGGTGAGGGTTGCTTGGTCTTGGTAGCTGGTGACACTGATTGTGAGTGGTCCATTGATGTACAGGCAATATTTTCACTTGCATTTTTTTTATCCTGCCCATTTACCTCAATGGAGGAGCTGACAATCGCGTGTGCCATGAGCCGTAATTATTGAACTTAGTGAATGCGATATCAAATATCAAAGTTTTAAACTGGTGTTCATATAGTAGAAGGGAACGAAGAAGAGAAGGGGAATTTAAAGTAGATCTCGAGGAGCGCGTTACTTTTGACAGTACAGAAAATTCAATGAATGAAATGATGACTTATCTTTATCGCGATATATATAACATGGTATACTTGTTTTTCAGAAGTATTGAATAAATAATCGTTCCTCAATACAAATTTTTTACATTATCTTTCGTTTATTACTGTGCAAGAAACAAATTAAAAGAAACGAATTTAATACCAAAAGAATATTTTATCAATGAATGATCGCAAATCTACGTATTATGGAATTTATGACTTATTCGTTTCCAAATATATTTATCAAATATCAGTCGTTTATCGCGAAAACATATTAACAGTTTTGTTTTATTAATATTATTATCTTATTAATGATGTAGCAATATTTAATATGCAAAAATTTAATTGAATATCAAAATAAAATGAATAAATTTTGAAGATAAACATATTTTTATTATTTGTTTTATTTTTTATTTATTTATTGGCCTTTAGAATTTCTTTTTTCACGTAAAAAGCTTCTATCTATATTTTATTATAAAATCAGCTAATTGTTCTATCAACATCTTCAATATTTTTTTTTGGATGATCACTCATTTGAGGACGTAATTCATAGGTACAAATTGTAACACCATGATGATGCGCAGGTGACCATTCTCCTTTCAATCCAATATAATAAATTTTTATTCTCTCTCTTCTGTCAATGCCAGTAAAGTGTAAACTTAAATGATGTACTGATGAGAATTTAACTATCCTACAATAAAAATTATATTATATTTTTACATTATAACACCTTATATAATGAAATAAAATATATATACTTAGGCGAATATTCATGTATTCCATTTGCATCTACACACAATTCAAACTCTTGTTCAGGTTCTATAGTTATATCATCAAATGTCATACGTGGCCTATTTTTATACCTACAATTATAAAATATTGTTTTCAATATTAATAAAGGATATTTATATTTTCATAGTCTTCTTTCTACGCAACTCTCAGAATTACTTACAATTTTACTTTATTTGGATGAAGATTATTTTCCCCTCCAATAACGATAAGGCCTTTCAATTTTATATTTCCTGTAAAACTGAAGAAAGATGATAATATTTATGTATCCTTACTGAAAATCCTTACTCAAATGAAGAAACATACGGAATGTTAAAGAGAAGTTCGTCGTCTATATCACTTTCAACGAACTGAAAAGTAAAGATAAATTATAATATATAACTATAACGTTAATACAATTTGAGAAATATTAATTGTACAAAACGTTTAATATAAATAGTAAATAATTACTTTATCTCTATCCAGTCTGCTTTCCCATGGTTTAAATACTGTAACTCCACTACCTTCTTCATATTCATTTAAACATTCTACATTTCCTATGTCAATTTTTTGATATAAATTATATTGTACTCCTAATTCTAAATCATTGTGTGTATCACCACAGCTACATTGATGAGCCATAGTAAAACAACCTAAAACGTTCGTACTAACATTGAATATAAATGACACGAGTAAATTGAAATAAACGATAACATAAAAAAAAGTTAAAATATAATGACGTTCCGATTTCGAATAAGAGAAATAAATACTTATACCAATAATAATTGCTTAATAATTTTCGACGTAACAAAATCTTTGAAACACTGGGAATATATAACCGAAATTATGCGTTACAACTTTAAATGGAAAATTTCTCCAACATGGATACAAACGATAAATAACAACTATTAATTATGTTACAATTTACATTATTAATAACAAATTAAAAAAATATTTTCAAATAAGAAACTTTCCTCAATTTTTTGGTTTTATACCATAAAATAATTAAATCAAATTGTTACATATACTTTTACATTAATAATTTCGTTTTGAAGAAACATTGCGATGAATGTTTTTGAAATTTGAAATTTTCTGTTTTGATTTTTCTATTATACTGTTAATAAACTTATTTTTCTATTATACTATAAATAAATAAGTAAATAAATATGTATATATATAAATAAATATATAAGCGTGAGAAATGCTACAAAGCTCTTTTATATTCAATAAAATTTTAATCATACTTGAAATGAAATGCCTTCTGTAACATGTAACATTTATCGTTGGTTGGTAACACTAAGTTATGTTTCGTTCACAACTTCACTGGATTAATAATGCTATTATTTTCTGTACGGTTTGGTACTTCGGTCGTATGCAATAGATTATGTCTGTGGTTAGTTTTTAAAAATATGTGAAACGAATAACGGAGTGTAAATATTGCGACATTGTTGCTCGCAAGAGGAATTATTATTATAAAGCTTAACGTTAGCTTGTGTTTTTTCTAGTTTTTAAATGCTTTACCAGCATTTCAGAGACCGTTAACTGTATTTGTAAATTCCTGATTGATTAATGGTGATTCCATAGCAAATGAATATTTGCATGCTGCAGTTATGTGCTTCCATTGTGAAAACATAATTGTTTTATGGTGATAATATGTCAAAATCAAACATAAGGAAGATAACGGTTGACCCTACGAAATGTAATACAGACTCTCGTCGACCAAGTGTGTTTGAGAGGTTGGGGACCAAACCAGCAGTCACTGCCGGCCAAAATTCGTCGGATTATTGTAGAAACTGGGCACTGAACGGCAGCTGTTCGTACGGAAAGAATTGCAAGCAAGTATAATTTTAAAGTTAACCTACCTCTGCGTAAAAAAAAAAGAGAATATCAAAATACGCATCTGCTCTGTTGTAGTTATAGACAGTGAAATTGTTCAATTCGTTGTTTAAATAATAAAGTAAGAATTGTCACTTTTATTTCATTTAAGATGATCAACATTTTCTTTTCTTAATATTGCAACTAGATATGCAAATACTCACACATTAATAAGTCCGTCCAAGCGTGCCAAAAAGGATAATGCTATTGCAAGTACTGCGGGAGTAAGTAATCTATGTTGTCATACTTTTTAGCGTAGAACGTGCACTTAAATTATAAGCACGCAGTTTATTATGTCTTTTTCCAAGACAGATATTTATATGTATGTTTGTCGATATATAGCTCATTGAGGATCCATTTAAAAGACTTACTTCCAAGATCGTAAAAAAGCCATCGCACAGTCCTGACTTAAATTTGGAAGAGTGGAATCAAACAGATTTGGAATACGAAGACGAAAAAGTATTGGAAAGACGTAGACAGTTGTTGCAGCGTGAACTAGAGCTACAAATGAAGAAGGACAAAGAAGTTCATGGGAAAGACAAAGTGAGACAAAAGAAAAAGGCTATGACTTCTTCATCGAGTTCGCATACTTCAAGCACATCTAGTAGTAGTAGTAGTTCTAGCAGTGAAGATTCATCTTCCAGTTCGACATCTGATTCGCGTAAGAAAGTTAAGAAAATTAAATCTAAACGACATCATAGTGGATCTACTGATTATGATGAAGATAAAGAAAGAAGAAGAAAGTAAGTCATCATACGTATGTTATTATTAAGTATTGTTTTGTTTAGTACATAATAAATATTTTTTTTTAACTGTTTCAAATCAAATAGTACGTCAAGAAACTTTTTTCGTGACTTTAACTATTTATTTAAAATATATTAAAAAATTACAAATTAATAATCTTTATAGATTGAAATTAAAAAGGCTTGGAACAAAAAATGAAAAGCCATCAGTGAAGAAGAAGCGTAAATTTGAAAGCAGTTCCACAAAAAAAGAGATTAATGTTAGATCAGCAAAAAAATATAGTTCGTCTACAGTATCAAAAAAACATTCTTCTACACCTCGTACAAGATCACCAGCAATACAAATATCTACAGCTGTGACATCGACAACGACTGCAGTATTAGGTTCTTCAGTATCTGTACTTCATCATGGAACATCAAATAAAATTAGAGAAAGAAACCGAAGTGAATCTCCAAAAACGATAAAGAATAGAGATATGGAGAAAGAAGATAGACATTATAAGAAAGTGAGAGATATAGATGAATTATCCAAAGATAATACAAAGAATAAACTTTTTGATAAAGTCAAAGAACAGGACAAAGAAAAAAATCGTGTAATAGATGAGAAAATAAAGGCAAATGAGAAATTAAAGGCGAAATGTAAAGATAAAGATATACGTTCTAGAACGCCTCCGACATCCGATAGATCGAAGCATCAGCATTCAAAGGAGACAATTTCAACGAAAACTCGTCGCAGTCGTACACCTGAAAAGTCATCGAGATCCAAACGAGAGCTGACGCCACCGAAAACTCAGGATAGACAGCTGTCTACGAATAGATCTCGAGACGCAGAGAAGAAAGATCGCGAGTCACATAAAAGTGATAAAAGTAAAGACAGAGAGGACATAAGAAAAACTGAACAAAATAATAAAGCCAGACAGGTGTCGAACCAAGAAGAGGGTCATAGAAGGATTGGTAAAGAGTTCGATGATAAAACTTATTTAGGTGATAAGACTCGACAAAAGAGCAGGGAACGACGTGATAAAGAGCATACGAGAGACGAACGTGGGCATTCAAGACTTGCTCGAGATCAACGAGATGCTCGTGATAAAGACAAGGAAGATCTACAGGAACGTTGTCGTGAACGACCACGGGAAAGAGATCGCGATCGAGATAGAGATCGAGAACGTGATCGTGAGCGAGAAAGAGATAGGGATCGAGATCGCGATCGTGATAGAGATCGGGATCGTGATAGGGATCGCGATCGCGACCGAGAGCGAGATCGTGACAGAGAAAAGGAACCAATAAAAGCAAGAGACAGAGACGTTCCGTCTTTAGTTTCGACATCAATAAGCTTAACAGCGGACAAAAATTCGCGTTATAGTCGGGATAAAGAACGAATAGTGTTGAAGGATAATGCTTTTGAGAAGAATGGAACTCGAGAACGTAGAAGCGATAGGGAAAGAGAACGATCCGAAACGAAAGCTCTTTCTGACAGAGACAGAACATCTCAACGTATCGATAGCAGGTACGATAGGAATACTGTGGATAAAGATGCATCAGTTCGTAAGGCTGGTATAAATTCACCTAGGGATCGTATTGATCGTTTCCCGCGAGAAAGATCTTTGGACAGAACATCGTTGCTTGATAAAGGTGTACACAATGCCCCACCATTGTCACAAGCTCCTTCTTTACCAGCCGTTCAATCTTCTATAGCATCTTCGTCATCCTCATCTGCACCGCCTACGTTGTCGAGCTCGCGAGACAACTTACTTGACAGAATGGATGTCGGACACTATGATCGTGAAAGACACAGACGATTCAGTGCAAGATACGATCGAAATCATACATCCGAACATGATCAGTCACGCGTTACGCCAACCAAAGTTGATCGTTTGATCGAAAGACGGGAGGCTAGTCCACGACGAACAATTGAAATTGACAGGAACTACAACAGAAATTATGGGCGTTTGTCGGAACATTGGGATGAACAGGAGGAAGCATCTTCGCATTTAGATTATCGTGATCATCATGTTCATGAAGATGATAGAAGAAAAACTGTTGACGGAAGAAGATACGATAGTCCGTTCGATGAAAGACGCGGAATTCGCGAAGAAAGATCACGAGAATCTAGATATGTCGTTCAAACTACCGACAGAACAACATTTGACGATCATCGACATCATCATCATCATCACAGACATCCACTCTACTCTGGAGAAAAATTAAGAAGTAACACCTCCATACGGTTCGTAGCTACAGATGTATTAATGTTTATTGTGACGAATAATGAAAATATTTGAACTTTTATATTTACACTAGAGATGAAAATGTTCCTAACGATGATTGGGATAGTCATCATCGTGACGTGGAACATGGCAGAGAACGAGCTTATGGTCCTGTTGATTGGGAAGAAAGAGAATGGCGAGTAAGAGGATTATGGGACAACAGAGACAGTATTCCTCAATCAGAAATGCATGATGATGATTGGAATTCTCGATACGATAATTCTGTATCAGATTGGAAATCAAGCGAGTCTCGAAAATGGGATAATCAATCAATGCATATTCGAGGACACTATAGAAACGATCGAACCAAGGAATTAGAAATAGCAGAATCCACATCGCATAAGTATGTTACAAGGTATATTTTTGTTTAATTAATTTTTGTAATAATAAATTGTTTCTTTTTTTTTAAGTAAAAGAAGAACTTACAACAGTTCTGAAACTAGAGATGAATGTACACTTCATAGTTCTAAACAAGCATCTTTATATGGTAGTATGAAAGAAGAACCTATTAATAAAAAGTTAATGGAGCTTGCAGAAGGCAAATTACCTACGACTCGAGAAAAATCAGACACTTTTCAAAAGAAAGCTGCATCGAAAGAGAAAGCTGAAACAAAAGAAACTGTTACTTCTGAATCGAAACGTACTTGCATTGACGAGTCTTTGCAAACGCTTCATACTGAAAGTGATCTTAGTGACATTAGTGATGACCCAGATGATATATTAAACATGGAAGATATTACAGTATGTTCTATTTATTTATATATAACTGAGCTCTCTCATTATCACTTTGTGAACTTACATTATTTTTTAATGTTAATATTTACAGGATATAGATACAAGTAAATCACGAGTAACTAAAAAAACTCCTGATACCATGCAACGAGATGGTCAGCTAACAACTCAAGAAACAGACCTCTCGTCTCCGAAAGAAACCATAGAGGAAACAGTTTTCAATACAAAAGGAAAAGATAATACTGACGCAATGTCCTTTAGGTAAAATTTTTAATTTCTAAAATTCTATCCTATTATTACTACATGTAACATATAATTTACTGAATTAATAATCAAAATTGTTTACAGAAATATAGAAGATGAAAATATGGAAACTATGGATTTTGAAGAGATTTCTGATGGTGAATTAGAGGAGGACATTAAAACGAGTGGTAAAGGTTTAGGCGATGCTTTAGGAGTTGATTGGGAAAGTCTTGTTAAAGAAACACAACCTCGTAAATCTGTATCATGTAATGAAAATTCGGAAAATCGCTGGCAGTGCAAAGCGATTCTGCATAGAATTGGTGTTTCTGCTAAATATGCAGGTGAAGATATAATGAAAAAACTGGCAAAAAAATATGGAAACGACGGTTTGTAATTTTATCAATGCTTATTTCATGAGATATCTATTATATCACATTTATACTAAATATATATACATGTACATATCACATCTATATCATTTTTATACTAAGTGAGTAATAAGTAATATTTATTTTTAGATCATTCAGAATTTTTTTTTCATAATGTTGCATTTATGCACACAGCGCTTGCACGAAATCGCTTGTTGCGAGATTTAAATAATGATATGCTATCTACAGTGGATGATTTTCTGTATAGGTAAGTATTGTTATATCTTATTTTTAATAATAGCATTTTAATACTTTTAATAAAATGCATAATATCATTATGTTGCAGAAATAATAATGTAAATATTGATGAGGATGTGGATTACAATTTAGAAATTTTAAAACCTTGTACAGCTTTATATGAAGAAGCAAAATGTTTATTACAACAGGCAGTATGAAACAATTTTAATTGTAGTACATGATACCCAGAATTGTACTTTGCTACTATACTACATAAAATATAGCATAGAGCACAAGTGCATCATATTGTTATTGTACTAGTCTTATTCAGCTATTTAACTATTTCTGCTGCCAATTTAGCCATTTACAGTGCAATGTAAAAAGAAATTAAATTGATACATTTTTCTTAACATCTAATTCTTTAACTTTCCATAACTAAATATCTTTTTGTATATTATTCATTCTTTATGTATTTTTAATCAAGATTATAATCCTTAAAATTGAACATTACAATAGATGGTATTTTAAAAGATATAACGATTTTCCAAACAATATAATTTTATTTTGAAAGTTCCACACGTTTTCTTTATTGTACTAAGTTTTTTTACAATTATAAATTAACTTTATGTTATTTGTCAATAATATTTTTTTATATACAGTCTATCTTGATGCAGTAGTTAGCTGTTTGAAATAGTTTTTATCATATTTGAGCGTAACTGCTGAAATAACATCATTTTGCAATATAGCGATTGCCTTTTTAAATAGACATTGATTTTCATTAATCTGAAAAGATATTTAATGTAAAAATAAAAGATATCAATAGATAAAGAAATACAAACGTAACAAACGAAATTTGAACATACTTGTTCAATGTTTAATTTACATCGTTTTATTTTTTCCAAATTCGTGCAATATAATTCATATAAAATAAGACCTAAAATATTAAAACAAAATTTTTAATTACTATTATTAGTACTACTACTACTACAACACAACAGTCCTTGTTTTAAATAAATTTACCTCTTTTTCTACAATCACCACAATTTAAAGTATCCAATAGACAAAGTAATTCGTTGCAGAATTTTATCTTCAGATCCAACTCGGTATCAGTTAAATCTGACATAATATTCGAGGAAAGTATCATATAATATACATATAAAAGTAATAAATTTTGAATAAAATATACTCTTACACATTATACGCACCTTCCCATTTTGCGCCATCATTCCTACCATAATACGAAATAATTCGAAACTTCAGATCTACAATGAGGTAATTGCTCGAAGGAATCAAAAGTGAGAGCTCTTTTTGCAGAAATTGATAGATCTCACGTGGTGTTTTGTACAGAACTTCCTCCACGATAGCCGCTATACCTGAACGAATCGAACATATCTACTAAAAAGGGAAATACAAACACGTCTGTTAATAATCATTAATAAAATTTAGAATTATTTGTATGATTAATGCTGTTAAATTTAAAAATTACGAATGTAGAGCTCGTTACAAAATTAACGTTATTTGGTTGCAAACAGGAAATTGGAAAAACTTGTAAAAATATAAGAACATTCAGAAATTATTTAGAAAGAGATTATTGGTCATACAATAGATATTTTTGAAATTTAGACGATTTAAATACCTGCTGATGACTTATAATTATGGAACATTTATCGCAGACCCAAGGACTGGTCATATTAAGAGGATCTTGCGGTAATAATTCTCCTGAACATTTATCAGATGCACATGAAAGTGCACCCAATTTAGATCTAAATTCCTAATGTAATTTAAAAAAATACATTTGTCTATTTCAATTATTCGTGCAGTTAAAAATAATTATCAGGGAAGACTGAGGCAAGTTAACATATTCTTCAGTTTCTAAATTTTGCAATTTTTGTTTGAAATACTTACTTTAAATAATTCAATGAAAATACAATTTTATATGTCGTCCCTAAATTGAGAATATGAATTATTTAGTTTCTTTTCATAAAACCAGAAATTACTAATTTTGTTTGACTGCGAATTTTTATGCAAGTTCATATTTTTGAGGACAAACCTAAAAAAATAGAAAAAATTGTTTCACCTACATAATATTGTAGATGGCATTGAACTTTAGATATTTTCTCACATTATATGCATTCTATACAATTTCATACTATTAAATTTCCTATAAATGTCTAATTATTAAGCAAATTAACAGTAAAATTTAGACATAGAAATCGTAATAAAGCAAATTACATATACTAATATTCAAATAATTTCACTCTATCAATCTGCATGCTATGTCAACTTGCCTTGATCTTCCTTTATACACGTATGTACATACAAACTTACCGTGGGATCACTGCACCGTTTGCACATGCAAGAGAAGTGTTTAGTTACGCTTAAAAATTGTCGTCGCAACGTCGTATCCCAAAATAAAGTCGTATAGGCCATAGTGATCTCCTCTCCAGCAGCAATCGGAAATGCAGCGCTAACATACATTCGAAATTCTCCATCGAAATGATGTCTTGTATTTGGTACGCAACAGTGATTTTGCAACGAGGCAATTGGATAAAGTCCTCGTAAACTCGCAGAACTGTCCTTGTCGTGGACTACGACCGTTTCAAACGAGTTCGTATTAAAAACTGCGCACACACACCTCATCAGCTCCATATCTTTCTCGCCCGGAGGATTGGCCACACTTTTCTCAAGTTGTTCGAGCTTTATAGAAATTATTTTTATAGTGACAGAAGATAAAAAATGAAAAGTATAATAATAATTTTCATCATTTTTTTAAATCAAATACATGTATATCGATAATAATCACGTTGGTATTATCTTAATAAAATTAAAAATATCAGCATAAGATTTAAAATAGGAGCACGTTCTCAAGTTCATTCTCTTCGTCAGACGTGCGTACATATACATCTTCACGCGTGCGAGGAAATTTCTAGGAAAAAGCTTGTTTCTCATCGACGCGCAAATCTTTTGAGAAAGTTTCCAATAGTAAAATGAACTTATACCTCGTAATTGTAAACCAAAGATTGATCGCGTTGAAGTGTCGCTAAACATTTACGTTGTTGCTCCGTCATGAAAAGCGCGCGGATGGGTACGACAGTCAGCAACAAGCTCGGAGACCAATCGGTACCGCAAGTCGGTACCAATGACCTTAGATACTTGCATTCATAGTTGACATGCTTTGGCGAATCTTCACATCGAGTCGAGCAAACTGGCAGGCCACAACCTTTATCGCACGGAAATAACGGGCACTCGTTCTTATAACAGCACACGCATAGTTGAAGATGTTTGGTTGTACACCTCGGCCCGATTAATATAGGCGCATCAATAAAAATTAACTCGTTCTGTTCGATGTCACGAGTAGCGAACATGCCACGACCGCTTAATGGCGAGAAACGAATGGTCCACGGCTGTGGCCCTTCCCGAAACATCTTATTCTCTTTCAAATGAGACAGCAACACCTCCTCCACTTCCTCTGGCTCTACGATATCCTGGCTACTCATATCGAGATACGATGATACTTCAGAGTGACTTCTTCGAAAGATTTCAACGGTGATACTGTAATCGTTATTAGAGATACTTGTTAGAATATCTACACATTTAGGAAAATGTTCGACTTACATAAGTATTTATATATAGTACCTCTGCAGGGTGCATTGACCTTCGTGCATAAAAATGAATGACAAATCAAATTACATGAATGGATCAATTGAATCGCTGTCAAAGATAATTTATTGCGTAAAAAAATTCACGCAATCGATGGTATTATTATTATTATTATTATTATTATTATTATTATTATTATTATTATTAT